AAACGAAACACTCGCATCGTAAAATACAGCAATGAATATTAAATATTTGTGATAATAACTAATAGTATAATTTATAATTATTTTAATAATTTATAAATTATAAATTGATATAAATTATATTTGAAAAAAATCATATATTTTTATATTTATATTTTCCTATCAAAATTGATCAAAAAAAAAAAGAAAAATAACGGAATAATATTTTAAAAAAATCTTCAAAAAAAAATAATTTTCAATGATTTTAATACAACAATCATGATTCTAAATTCAATCATCATAAAATTACATAGAACAAAATTTTTTGATTTAATTCGTTCATCAAATATTCTTCATAGAAAAATTATTTTCAGAAAATAGATTTTCGGAATTGAAGAATTTACTTCAGATACCATCAAGGGATCGTTTAATAAAGCAGATGAGCGGTGGCCAACAAAGAAGGGTATCACTTGGAGTAGCTCTGCTTCACAAGCCAGAATTATTAATACTTGATGAGCCCACTGTGGGTTTAGATCCACTTCTATGTGAAAAGCAAGTACATTTTGTTTCTTTACATTTTTACATAACGTTAATTAAATTGCAATTTATGTAAATAAAAATTCTTTGCTAAAAATAGTATCTGGAATCACTTAGTGGAAATCACAAAAAAGGGTACTACTGTGATAATAACTACGCATTACATCGAAGAAACAAAACAATCAAACACGGTAAATTATAATTTTTTTTAATAATAATCTTCTTATTTATGTTTTTATAAATCTTCTTATTTTAAATTTGTTCACTGTTATAATTATAATTAAATTATTTTCAATTTTTTTCGAAAAATTTAATTTTAAAAAAGTTACAATCTGATAGTGATAGATCATAAATTATTTTGATTGGAATGATTCATGATGTAATTATATGGATATAATTATTTGAATAATAAATAAACATTTTATTATGAAAAAATTATATGATTTAAAAGAATATATGAAAGTCATTTATTTTTTTATATTTTAATCGTATTTAAATTTTTTAATATATCAATCGATATAGATTTATTTCTCATAAAAAATTATCAATTCATTTAATTTAAAAATTATTTATATAACAATAGATAGTTTATTAATTTTTTCAAGTGATCACATTATATCACTCATTCAGTATATTAAAGTATATATTTATAATGTTATAATTCATAATATCATATAAAATATAAATCGAATTATTATAAAAAGAAAGACAAGCTATGTTATTATCTATCGTAAATTTTAGATTGGATTATTGAGAGGTGGACAGTTATTAGCTGAATCATCACCGACTGAGTTATTGGCGCGATTTCAAACCGATTCATTGGAGGAAGCTTTTTTGACCTTGAGCCAACAGCAATCACAAAATCCACATTCAAGTTTCGAGCGACCTACGATACAGCCTGCAGAAGAGATACATGAAGTGATGACTTTTTCGGGAAACTCTAGTGAGGTGACACGAATCTTCAGTTTTATTCAAAAATAAAAAATCTGGAAATTAGTAGATAATATTGATAAATTGGAAAATGATTGTATGAATACCAATACCAGTAGCAAATTTCGATCCAGTATCATTCAAACATGCATCGAAATTTTAGATATTTTTTGGTGCCAATATCTCTTAAGGTGATTATCATTTTTTAATATCAAATCAATACTGAATCAAAAACTAATATTTCAAAAATAGCAATATTTATTTGATACTTTATGAATTCTTCGATAATTATTTAATATTTTACGAAAATTTCGATGTCTATTCGATACTTTCATTTTTAAATGTTATAATCAGGTGATTGTATTGCATCTATCTTGCTTTCTCTAGTCGTGTTTATTCGTTTACTTTGTCAAGCTATATTGAAATTAATACTTGTAACATTTAGAAATGAAAGTTAAAATCTTCGTAAAATATTAAACATATATCGATATTTTCGTATCAGGTGATTTTTGATTCAATGCAATATTAGCTTCATTTAAAAATATAAGTCAAGTTAATTATTTACATATTTTAATTATTATTAATAATTTTTTGATTGATTATTAATAATTATTTTTATTATAATTTTTTTCTGGTTAATGATATTAGAAATGTTGATGTTAAGTAATAATTGATTTATTTATTTAAATAAATAATATATAGCTTGATCGTTGAAAAAATAATCAGCTTAGAATAAAATTTATGTATTACTTTCTTTCAAATTTTGCTTACAAAATAAAGCATATCATAAATTAAAGATACTATACTATATTTACTTATATAATAACACATATATAATAACAAACGATAAAAAATGATAAGTAATAAAAAATATAAAAAATTAGTAAATATAAATTAGTAAATGATAGGAAAGTTAATATATTTATAACAACAAAAGAATTCATTAAAATATTGAATGTCAGATGACTTCTTGTGTGCTTTGTATAGCAAGTTCAATGCCTGTTAATTTAGTATCATGACATTCAATATGTTAAGATCTGATAAATATCGACTTACAAATCATCTTTGATAATAATAATAATAATAATAATAAAATTTATTATTATTTCAGTTTAAACGAGTTTTAAAAAGCAGTTGGAAATCAAGGATGTACGCTTTATTACTTAAAAATATATTTCAATTTATACGTAATCCAGGGTAATTATTAAGATACTTGATTAATTGATAAGAAACATTTGAAAAATATTAAATTGAATTAGAAAAACATTAATTTGATTTTCCTCTTTTTTTTTTTTTACTTTTTTTTATTTGTAGAGGAATCTTATTTGCGTTATTATTACCAATGATACAAATAGTAACATTTTTCAACGGAATTGGTGGAGATCCGAAAGATCTAAAGATATTCATCGTAAATGAAGAAGCAGGAAATTGTGATAGTGGAAGAATTGTGGGCAATATTACGTACGATGATTATGAAAGAAATTGCAATTTTACTGATATTAGCTGTAGATTTATAAGGGGAATAAATAACACTGTTTTAGAGAAGGTATGCAAATATTATTTTATGATTTAAAAAAATCGATCAATAATCAATGTTAATATTTTTATAATACAAATCTCCTTTGCTTAATATATTATAAATTTATTATAATATATATTATAGATTTTTTGTACTCTCTTTTTTGATACACATCAATAATATTAAATTATAAAATAAAATTGCAAATTTTAATCTTTTTTAAAATTTTATATTTTTATATAAATTAAATAATCAAATAATTAATCTTTGCACTCGAAAAATTTTTGAAAGTATGTTTTCAACTCAAGACATGAATAATACTTTTGAAATATAAAAATAAAAATGAATTCTATATTAGAAGTAAAAATGCAAATATTACTATTTTATTTAATTAAAATCATGTTGTAGCTATGATAAGTTTTATAAAACTTTTCCGTAAAGAAAAAGTATTGCAATTCTATAAGAAATATATTTTAAAATATACAGAATCATTATTGAAATTTTCGACAATTTTTTTCAATTTTTATATAGAACTGATTAGTAAGTAATCACTTTTCGAATGCAAAAAATTAATTCTAATAATTTATAATATATATTTTATAAGAATTTTAATTTTCGTTTTTTCATATTTAAAAATTAAAATTCTGATCACTGAAAAGTTATTAAAAATTATTAAATAGATCTATATAAATAGATTATATTTATTAATATATTTATATAGATTTAAATGATTTATGTATAGATTATGTATAGATTATTTATGTATTAAAAAATGAATATTGATATAGCAACATCGATATATTAATAATAATATAATGGAATATTTCGCATGACAAAATAATTAAAATTGTATTATTTTAAGTTATTTAATTTATAATTATCTATTTCGATACAGAATTTGTAATTCGTACGCGAGAGAAAATAATACTATCAGCATTTTGAAATAGTAATTTTGTAGAATAACTAATTAATTGTATTATAATAATGATTAATTATATTTTATTTCTAGATGTTCTACGAAAACTATAAACAGGCAAAGTTGGAAATTTCAGATTTTTCAAGCATTGGAATAATGCATTTTGAAAAGAATTTTTCTCTTGCTTTGGAAGAAAGGATAAAAGATCCTTTAAACATGCCTGAAAATCTGGTTTCCGTTTCTCAGATTCATGTTGGCCTATATAATCCAAGTATAGTAACAAAAATAAATATATTATTCAGTTTTTAATTTATTTCTTTTAGAATCGAGTAATTATTTTAAATAACATATTTTAATTTTTTTTAATATATTTTATATTTCACATATTTTTCGAAAAAAATAAATAAAGTCACAGATTTATTTTTAGTTTTAACAATTTAAAATTGTTTATTCATTGATAACAATTCATAAATTGAATAAACAATTTTAATTATTAAAAAATTGATGGAATTTACTACCGATAAAAGATTCATGTTCTTTGGAAATAATTAGAATAGAAAAATTAAGGATATTATACACAATTCAAATATTAATTGAATATTCTTTTTAATTTTTTAGATAGACAAATTAATTTATTTGCACAACGAAAACTGTATGATGATTTTCTCACAGAGTATCAGAATATATTAGAAGAGTGTGGAATTGAAAAAAAATATGGCAAAATACCTATTAAGGCATGTATATTTAATGAAATTGATTCTTTTTAAAAAATTTCAAATGTATGATGTAATTATTGTATATTATATTTTATAGTTTGAAGATCCTGTTTATGGTACGCTGGAACCACATTATGAACTTTTTGTTTTCCCAACTTATATACTAATGTGAGTTTTATTATAAAAATCAGAATTTTTTTATTAATTAACATTTCTTTATCCGAATTTTATTCTTTAGAATGTTACACATTGTGGCAACAGCCTATTCTTCAACTATAATTATAAGTGATCGTCATTCTGGCGTTTGGAATAGAATCTTAGTACAAGGTAAGTTTTTATTGTAATAATACTTCACAAGGATAAATTATTTAATTATCATTCTAAATACTAAGTTTTATAAACACATTATCTTAATGAACTTTTTTATAAAATTTTTCATCTGAACATGTTAATTATATGTATAATTAATGAGTGTAATTTCGAACAACTTTATACTATATTGTAGTATTTCATAATGAATTATCATTTTAAATGATTATATTATTATGTGAAATTAAAGTATTATCTTTTTTTTCGTTATATATTTAAAATAACGATATTTTAACGGTTATATATTTAATATATACTTATTTTCTGTTCACTATATGATTTATAATTTATAAATAAGCATAATGTGATAATTTAATTTAACACGTACAGATGTAAAATAATTATTCGTATAAGCAATTTAGAAAAATGAACTTGCTTAAAACGATTCTTAAATAAAATAGTATTAATTATTTTTTTTTATTTGTACTTTTTCGTTAATAATCTAAATTGTTAATTTTTTTTTAATAGTATAAATAATTGATAAATATTCTACAGACGATAGTCTTTACGAAAATAAAGAATTTTTATCTGAAAAAACTTTTTCTGTATTTCTTATAGTTTGCGAATTATACGAGAAGTATAAAGTAATTTTGGACAGCAAAAAAAATTGTGTAATATCAATATGAGTATTACATATTTTCAAAGTTTTATAATTTTTTAAATTTGAGGATCTCTCTTTATAAAATATAAAACATAATTTTTTTATTCTTTTTATTTTTTTAACTTGAAAAATAATCATTTAAATTAATCAAATATTCTCTATACATTTTTTAAAATTATTATAATTTTATTATATTAAATTAAACTTCTGATTATTATACCTGATTTTAATCGGTCAATGATTATCATAGAAACATGTGATATTTTCGCTATTATTATTTATATGTTTTAATTTATAATATTGATAATATTATATCTAGATTTTATATATAAATATAAAATATCATATATATAGATGTATTCATATTTTATTTACGATTTATAAATAATATTGTTTAATTGACCATTAATTGACCATTCAATCTCATAGAAGTTGATTAATAGTAAGTTTCCTATATAATAATATAGAATAATTTATAAATATATATATATTATATTTATAATATAAATTATTCTATATAATATAATATTTTAAATAATTAATCTGTATATTAATATTAAACAGGTGTTAAAACAGCGGAGGTTCTCTTTACTCATATGATATGGCAATGTTTGATAATTATACTTCAAGTTACGTTCATGTTGTTACTCATTTTTTTGAAATATGATATACATTGCGAAGGATCGATAATTGTCGTTATTTTCATGACTCTATTCGCAGGAATTGCTGGAATGGCAGCTGGTAAGTGTTTGAATTAATTAAAAATTATTATAAAGAACAAATATATTTTTAAGAGATCATAATCAAAATTAGAGGAAGTTTTTAATATCTTCATTATATAAAAATATAAATAATACATAATAACATAACTACTTAGAAGAAATTAAAAGTTATCAATAACTTGCACAAGCAAATTATAATATATTTTCTTTTTACTGAAAGTGACATTATTGAGATCATTAAATTTTATTGATACTTATTGTTTATTAAATGTAAATTTTATTAAATGTTTTATTAATTTTAGTAATTAATAATTCAATATATTTCAAGATGAAATAATCGAGTAACCATGTTTATAAGGACTTCAAATCTCATAACATATAAAATTAAATATTTATAAATTAGTTAGATTTGAAATAGTACAAAACGAATTTTAGTATTTGGAATTTATTCTTTCAATCGTGACATATTTCGATTGATTCAATCCATAATTCAAGATTATAATAATTTTATTAATCAATATCATTTCTACAAATGATAATTTTTTTTGAATCAATAAAATGAATAATAAAATGATGCAATTGTTATTATCTTTATCTGATATTTTTAAAAATGTTGCTTAATGTTTATTTTATATTTCTTTTATGAAAAGTATAAAATAATAAAATTTTAATATCTTTTCCAATATGAACTCTTTGTAAAAAAATATAACTTACGACAAATAAAAAAAACAAAATAAAACAAATATCTTTTTTAATTGAAACGAACATCAAGAGACACGATGCATTTTTGGGAAAAATCTTTGAAGAAGATTACATATAATAATATATAATGATTATTAAATATTGATATAATGTAAATTTATATTATTATGATATAAAGATATATATGAATATCTAAAAGATCATTAAAAATTATATTTGGAATTTTTTGATTCTGTAAAAATAGAAGTTCATTAATCGTTTTAGAAGAAATTATTTTTAAGAAATGTATCTGTGTCATTTAGAATGGATTAGAAAATTCTTATATTTTTTTTTGAAAGAGAATTTTTAGTGAAATTTATTGGTTATTTATCTTTTCAGATTATCCTTTTATCTATTCAAGATTTTATCCTTTTATCCTTTTAATTATATCCTTATATAATTAATAAATTTAATTATATAATTATATTAATTAATAAATATATAATTAATAAATTTTTATGATAATATGTTTTTCTCAATGTTATAATGTTATGTTATAATAAAAAAAATTGTTTTTAGGTTTCTTTATATCAGTGGTGACTAATAATCAATCTTTGGCCTGCTACATATCAGTAGGAACCACTTATCCATTAACACTTCTTAGTGGTGAGTTATTAAACATAATTTTATTTAATTTATTATATTATTATATTTATATAATTATATATACTATATATACTAATAATTATTTATTTTAAAAAAACATAAATTAAATTAAATTAAAAAATTTATATATTTATTTAAATAATTTAATTTTTAATTATGATTTGTGTATTATATAATTTTTAATATTTATTTTGTATGTATTTAATATTTTATTAAATTCTTATTAAATTTCTATAAAACGAAAAACTTGGAAGGTATGAAAAAAAATATATATATAAAA